GGCGAGACATCTTGAAAAGACGTACCCGTGCAAGCTCTTTTGTGAGAGGACGCTCAGCAGCCTGCGCTGAAGCGGGCAGGGAGAAACACACACGCTGGATGCAGACCACTGCAGAGATAAGCAGGCAGGAATGTGAATCTCGCTGGAAAATCGCCTTTGCACCAACACAGACTGGAGAGCTGCTCATCTCGAAGACACTCGATGACAGTCAGAGAAATCAGACTTGCAGGAGTGAAGAGGATCTCTTGGCTCCGAAGCAGAAACATGTCTGCATTCTGTCAGCGTTCTTCCTTATATACCCACGAGGTGGGGCGGAGTTACGCTATGCAAATTCTGCAGACCCATGGCATTTCTTTGCCATTGGCTCGTTTTTTAACACTCGAAGGTGATAGGCTTCTTAGCGAAACCCCCATTTCGTCGTCATTTCGACATAACTCGAAGTGACTACGAAAGGGAACTAAAATTCACTCAACTCAATTCTAGTCAGTCAACATGAAATTTCCTCATCTTTTAGTATATGATTTACTGTAGAGGCGAACATATATTTTAAAGAAAAAATATTTGTCTATGTAATCTAAAATCTAAAATTCTTTTTATATATATAGTTGACCTCATCAAGCCTTGTTTTTCAACCCCTCTCTACCAACTGCCTGGCTCTTTTTCCAATAACACCAACTTGTCATGATAAAATCAATATTCCCTATGCATTGCGTTTTCACCCCAAATACAATAATGGAAGTAAAGATAGATTTAATAAGACACATTTAATAAGAGATAACAATAATAGTTTATACTGAAATAAATTTGGTGTAGGATTTACTCTGAAACAATTTTCACTCAGGAATTGTTAGTAAATTTCACTTCACCGATTACAAAGAAATTGCAAATAACACTTTGTATTAAATGTGAAATCTTGTAGAAGTAGAAAGAATAAAATAGTATTTTCTTGTAAAACGTACTCTAATAATAATTTTTTTTACAGTGTGTAGAGGAAAGCTACTTTACACCATTTCCTTGTTTTCCTTGACACACATCCCCCTCCCAGTGATCGACATTAAGCTGGACAAACAGCCGGATCCTCCGGCCACTGAAAGCGGGTGCTCCTGTTAGTAGAAAGCGGTTCGGACCTTCATTAACACCACACGCTTGTTCTGTTGCTTCCTATGGGTCCACGTCCTGTTGAACTTTATGATCGGATATAGGCTTTTTACATCTATCTGAATGGGTCTAAAATTATACTCCTCAGTTGCAAGAACAAAAAAAAATCTGCACTGTCTGTTCAATTGCCAAAATAATATCATAGGTAATTCAAAGTGACTAGCTAACAGATTCATATAGGACAGGAAGTGGCATGTGTACCATCTTTGGACAAAAACATTCAGAGTGGATTATCGGTTGTTATGTTTTGTATTTTTGTACATTACAAAAAGCACTAAATGATGCCTTCACAAAAAAATGAGTTTAAGATTCAAGACGGATGGCAGAGTAACTGTCTTTCGTCCATAGCATGCGTGTAAGACAACTTTTAGAATCTGTCATGTCCTTTGGTCCATCCACATCAATAGTAATGAAATGAAGAACTTAATGAAAAAAAGACAAAAGAGAGAGGTCCTGTTCAAAGTCTTAGTGTGGGTCTGTGTATACATCCTACATGCTAATCCAGTACCAGCCTCCATGAGAGGTGTGCGTACTAACCTGGCTAACCTTTAAAGTGCTGTGGCACTGTTGCAAAGAACCAATGGATTTTTCTGCTAGCTTCGTGTATACACTTTAGATCCACCAGGCGGTACTGTATTGTATATAGTATTTATATTATTGTGAACATCCATCATTTAAACGTGGTTTATGTTCACTTGTACAAATGTTTTTTTCTTCTTTTTTTAATATGACAAGGGCTTCACTCTTATTTTGTCGGTCTCACCTGTAGCCATACACTGGTAGTAATCTATTATTTATAATTTGGGAATTTTGCTGTTGCCTTATACTGTTTTACTCACTCATTAAGAGGATCTTTTCTGAAAGAATACAATTATTCCTGTTAAACACCTTGATTTTTTAAAATTATTATTTTGCAGCCAACTAGAACTAAAAATAATGAGATAATTGTCATTTGTTCGGTTGGGGCGAGAAAGGCGATTTTGAGGTGAGCCTTAGGAAACAACAGATTTTCATTTCAAATACATGCACTTTGTTATGGGTTCTGACAAGGATGTGTGTGGTTCACCACATCATAAAGTGATGAAACACACAAATGATTGTCGTATCCCTCATATATCTGTGTAGTAAAGCTCTTGTAGTCTCCCACACATGTCGAATGGATGTGTAGATTAAAATTCTTGATGTTGCAGGTGAACACTTTCATCTCAGAGAATCCTAAATCGTGAAGACCTTTTTAAAACCGCACTGAGAGAGAATGAACCCGCCTGTAGTCCACTCACGACATTCTGGTTATTGCAACAGTACGTTCAAGAAATGTGAGTTGTTTACAAAACTCTGGAAACATAGTATCTTTAATATTTAATGTATTTGTTTTTTGTTTTATATTTTGAATTGTTTACATAAATGCACTGATTAACACCACTGATTGTATAGAGATTAATTTAGGATATATTAGGTATTTATAATATATTTAATGTTAGTGCGAGTTTCTTTCTGGTGCCAATACTTCTATTAATTCAAACAAAAATGGACATGAGGAATTACTGTGACTGAATTGTTGGTACTAGGTTTGACTTTAGCTTCTCGGATAATTAAAGGGGCCGCTGATATTAACTATGGGGAGGGACTGATGTTAATGAGTTGTGCATAGAGTATGTCATCTTTCACATTCACATTTCTCAAGCCTCCGTTTCCTCTTGTTTGCTTTGTCATCTTTCACTTTTTGTACACTAGTTGTGCCTTCTGTTATTGTGGCATCACAATGCAAAGCTTTCATTGTATGGCTACCTGAGAACATGTACGTTATAGAAGGGAGGTCACTATGTGTGACCAGACAACTGACGGATTTATGATGTTGATCTGTGATGAAATTGTTGTATTCACACCATCTAGCCAATTCACAGTGGTTGAGAAGAATTGCAGAATAGTCTCATGCAAGCGGAAGATTGTATGTAAGAACAGGAAGTTGCTGCTGATAGTGTGAGCGGATTGAATCTGTCAAAGTTGTTGCGGTAGGGTTGTGTAGAGCAGTGTAGTTGGCTCTTTATTCACTCTGTAAGGACATTTATGAGCATGACATCTGTCTGAAAAAAGAAATCAATAAAATCCATGTCTTAATACCATATTGTCTACTGCTACAATGCTGAGTGTGATATTGATTTCATAACAGCTGTATAAAAAAGAGTGTGCACCTGTTCAATCAAGCAAAAAAGAAGGAAGTTTTAATGAATGTCTGTTTTCATAAATCTAAATTCACCCGCCTCACTATTTTATGAAAAATTAAGACAAATGCTATGTTCTAGGGATCATTAAAAGCTGAAAGCAATTATAACTTGGAGCATTACCTTGTTGGAAAATCTCAAAGATCAACATTACAAATGCTGCATTAAAGGTATAGTTCACCGAAAAGGGAAAATTGTGTCATCATTTACTCACCCTCAAGTTGTTCCAAACCTGTATGAGTTTCTATCTTCTGCTGAACACAAAAGAAGATATTATGAAGAATGTTTCTAACCAGACAGTTGACGGCACCCATTGACTTCAATAGTAGGAAAAATAATAAATACTGTAGAAGTCAATGGCTACTGTCACCTGTCTGGTTACAAACATTCTTCATAATATCTTCTTTTGTGTTCAGCAGAAGAAAGAGGGTGAGTAAATAATGTCAGAATTTTCATTTTTGGGTGAACTATCCCTTTAATGGCTAATCCACATCCAGTACGTTTATTGAGATGCACAGAGACTGGGATTCCCCTTGGCATGGAAACTATAGTCCTCAGGAGAGACAGGTGACTAAAAGTAGAGGGCTCACATGATTGAGAAATCGTTTCTTGCCCAACTGTGGACTTTCCAAGCCATACCGCACAAATGAGCATAAATGCGAACAAATGAGGGGCAGGTATTTTTATACAACCTACAAGGTGTGAGTTAGTGTTTTAACTGTAAATAGAAATCCAATGTCACCACTTATCACAGCAGGACTAAAGGTCTTATGAATCAATGGCCCCTAGAGGCCAAGAGCACAAGAGCCATTTATCCACCAGAAATAAGGCACGTCAATCACTGACACCCATCACACCAAATAAAAGGAAAGCAGCTAGGAGATCACAGGTATCTCTAGTCCTCATCACCAGCATCTGTTGTAAGTACTATGTTCATTTTTAGTGTGTTTAATGTCAGGCAACAAAATCTACATGTACCATTATTTCTAAAGGTTGAATGATGACTGATAGTTTTTAATTATTTAAAATAGGGGTCTGTGACTCTCAGGGGTCTGCAGCAGTATTCACAATTACTGTTTAATCTCTCTTTTTTTTTTGAGAAAAATAAAAAGGTTAAATCAAAATACAACATTTATTAATTTAAGTTTACTTCAATCTTCTCTACACATTAAAAATGTATGGTAACACTTTATTTTACAGTGTCCATGTTACTTACACATCTTACATGTAATTACTCTAGAAAGGGCATAATTACAAGCGAGTAATCCTAAACTAAACACTAATCTTAATTATGCACTAAGTACATGTAGTTAATTAATATTATTCAGTATTTAAATGTACTTAAACTGTAAGGACATTTTAAAATAAGATAACCAACTGTATTAAAATTAATTATTGGTCAGTTTAAATACAACACTTCAATTTATAATATGTAACATGGGTTCCCTTCTCCATCTCTTTATCCAATAAGGGGTCCTCCCTGATTTGTTTAAGAACTATTTATGTATGTGATAAAACAATTGAATCGATTCAAATTCATATCCAAATATTTAGTGCTCTCAGAACATCAGGACCAGAAGTTCCGTGTGAGTTTAGTTGTGGTCTATACTACTACAGGACTTCACATGTGCAAGCATGTCTAGGGTGGAAGGTTACGGAGAGTCTGACCTGCGCTCACAGCTACGAGCATGTAGGACTGAGATCGCCATGGCAATCCACGATCCTTTCCCACTGCTGTATGGGCTGGCGGATCACGACATCATCTCTGAACAGATCCTGAGGGTGAACATTTTCATACAAAAGCACTATTTCAAGTCTGTCTTCATGTTTTAATTGGATGTTTGTAGAGTCGTAGTTAGTTCCTGAAATGCTAAAACAACAAACTAATACTATCACCGACTTATAAGGAGACTTTAGAGCGAAAGAAAAAGGATGGGATCCACAAAGCTGTCTACTCACTGCTCACTTTGCTACTGGACCAAGATGCTTCTGTCCTCCAGGCATTCTGGAGCAATCTCTGTAAAGAGTACAATAAGGATTGTTACCCAAAACTGGAAACCCTGTTTATGAACCTCCCCAAAGGTACAGTGCACAGGCCTGGCAAACATACAGTAACTGTGTTGGAGGATAATGACAGTTTAAGTAATGATAATCTCATTTGGCAGGGTTAAAGCAGGTGGCCAGACACACTGGGACACGCTGGGTCCGCAGCCAGTCAGGCAGAAAGAGAGGGGTGGCCGAAAAACACCTGACCCACCAGTCCCATCACCACACCAAGAAAGCCATAACCTCCAGCTCAGGTAATGGACACCGGCATACACAGGAACTTATCACTCGGGTTCAGGTCATACCAAAATGGTGCAACTAGGGGTGTCATTCCTGGCACTTCTTCCTACAACTGTGTTATTTGATAGTCAATGCAATTTTCCTTTAGTTTAATGGATTAACCAAACAAAACTGCAACCGATTATTATTCATTATAAAACCTGCTTCCGTTTTCACTGTTAGGCTATTACTACTACTTACAGGCCCAATAATGTTGAGAAGTGCGTTTCATGACGTTCGAATCAATTAACCAGTAAATTTTACATTGTCACTTACGGTGATGTGCATGAACTGTAGCCTAGTAGCCTACTATTGAATTATGAACGTTGTCAAGACAATTGGTGTTACACAAATTTATATGGATTTAAATCAGCAGCTTTGTTCACAGGGTAAACACCTGATCTCTATTCTGTGAGTGTGAATCAGAGGCGGTTTTTTGAAGTCCTTCAGCAAAAAATTTGGTTCGCGTTTGATGCAGATTCCCTGTTCTCACGCTGCTACTCAAAAACTTCCCGTTTGGCCGAGCAAAAGGTAAATGTTCACATAAGGCTAACATTTCAAACTAGACTGAGTGACGAATCAGTCTTTTGTAACAGAAAAGGATTTGGACAGACGTTGGAAACGATGCAGAATGTACATAACGACAGGGAACAATCAACAAAGTAAGACACTTCCATTGAGACTAACACAGTTTGAATTTGAGAAGAAATGAAAAGAAAAAAAAAAAGAAACATTTTAACAAAATCACATAGAAATATATTGAAGGAGGGCTTACATTTTTTCCATTTACAAGTATGAATATGATATTTACAAAAATGTACAACATCAAAGAAGGGTGAATTTAAATCACCCTTAAAAAAGAGCACATCTTGTTGGGTTATATGAGGAATTGTTTCCATTTTTACTAACAACCAGCTATGTATACCAAACCAAAATTTAGAAGTAACCTCACAGTAGAAGAATAGGTGATCAAGCGTTTCAGGAGAAGAAGAACAAAAGCCACAAGGATTCACCTCAAAATGAAATCGTTTCTGTATAAAATCATTAACTGGGTAAATCATTTAATTGTAATTCTATCTCTATATTTGTTAATGGAATCATTATGACATAAGAAATACCCATTATCATCTAATAAATCATGAATAAAAAAAGACATGTATAATAACACTGTAAACAATGTATAATTACATTGTAATAAATGTATAATAACAACCTTGAAAAGAATCGCTACATTTCTCGAAAAGAATCGCTACTTTTTTACTTCAGAAGTAAACAGTGTAGCGGACTTAATGTTTAGCTGACAGAATGTTTATTTTTAAACCACAATTTTTAAACCACAACTCACTCTAATCCCAGAATGTTTATTTTTAAACAACAACTTCAATGTGTGCTTCTTTTACAGATATATTTAACGATATCTTTTGCATTTCTAATCCAAACAACGTCAAACTTTGCACTGCACTTACTCGTGCCCGTAGCAAGACACCCGTCAAGTTTGAAATCCATCGGACTAAGGGTTCGAGAGATATTCGATTAACAGACAGACAGACGAACGGACAGACAGACAGACGTTCCTGTAATTTATAGATAGATAGATGTTCCCTTGTAATCTTTAATGAAAATGACTTCTCCTTATCTCTTCTCTTTTCTGATGAGTTGTCTACTGGCGCGAGGTCGGGACAAACTGTCACTCACATGTGATCACAGCAATATCAAACCACAACCATTCAAGCAATTCTCAATGGACAAAATCCCACCTTGCATTTTTTCTTTCCAACATGACTTTAACACAACCAACAAATCTGACACATTCCAGTTTGAATGGGCATAATTTGATGCATCTGGTTTCAAACATGCCAGTCCTGATAACTTAATATCTCTACTGTTCCAGGAAGCAAAGGCAAGCCAATGAGGAAGACAGATGGTGCAGCACTTTCTCAGGTCTCAGTGGGAAACGGTAAGCACTTGATGCTTGAGTAAAATGTATCACTAGATGACTAAATATTATAGTAGACGAATGAGATTGTTCATGAATTAATATGACTCAAAACGCAGGGGTCCAGGCTGTATCTACCTCGGTCCAGAGGGCCGTGGCTGTATCTGCCAGTGAGCATCCCACTGGCTGCGGGACAGTAGAGGGGATTCTGATCCAGCAAGTCATTGAGTCTGGTGAGCTCAGCACACTAATACAGTATTGCCAGACTGTGATGAAAGCCTTTACTTAGCTAATGCTAGCTCTTAGCGTGTGTTTTGATAGTGTAACCTTGCGGTATAAACACTTTGCCGGTCCACTTTGGCAGCACAGATGTCTCATTTGCACTTTCCTGCAGGAGGTGCCAAAAAATGCATCAAGGTTGGAGGAGAATTCTACTCTTCTGCTAAACTGGATGAGACAGCTGGAGTGCACAAGGCACAGACTGCACAAAACTATAGTCACCAGCAGGGAGAGCCAAGTACCAGAGTCTTGGATGTAGGTGACCAAGACTCATGGAAAAGTACAATGAAAAATATTATTTAGGCATAAGTTGTCATCGTGTTAACCGGGTACAGTTGGTAATTCACTATTTATCACGTTTATGATGCATATGTTCAGGTGGAGCATAATGATGATGAGTGTGCAGTGTGTAAAGATGGTGGGGAGCTCATCTGCTGTGATGGGTGTCCTCGCGCCTTCCACCTCACCTGCCTGGTGCCGCCCCTCGCCTCCATACCCAGGTACAGAGCAGTCATGTGATACACAGGCCACTGACCCTACCAAACCTAGAGCTGACCTCATCATTAATCTTTACCTGTCAAGTTTAAAACAGTGTTGATAAACTGCATGAATTCAAAAAAAGTGAAATTTCATGTCACAAATTTTAAAGGTGAACTAAGTAACTTTTTTACCTTAACCGAACAACTTTGGAGTCATTGTAATGTTTATATTACTGATTTCGTGTTGAATGGTGGTGGTCGTCTCGCACCCCCCCTGGTGCCTGTAAGCCGCAAAACCACCCTTGCAACTTTGGGCCGGCGAGCCGCTCAGTTTTAGGAAGTATCGTGTGATATCAGGTCTCGCGAGGTAACGAATTGCTTTACGGCAAAAAACAGATCTGATAAAATTCTGATAAAATGAGCATCAAACAGAAATAACCCGGCGCCGTATACATGTGGTGTTGGGCGCGCAGCTCTTAAAGGGGCCATACCTTATTTCCACTCGTTACAGCGTCCATCCTACTGAACAGGTACCGGTGTACAGGGGGAGGGGATGAGTGCTATTCACGACAGTACAAGTACTCCACAGCGACTCTAGGGGTCGCTGTTTGACAAAAACGGAATTCCTACTTAGTGCTGCTTTAAATTAATGTTCAATGTCACAAATTTACTTATCTGATAATTGACCCAAAATAGTGTAGAATCTGAAATATTTATTGATTATTTTACATCATTATGTTTCAAAATTCTTAAAACTGTTTATTTCCAGGTTTAAAAATAAACAGGCCCCCGAGGGGCCAGAACCTACTAGTGGGCCTCAGCAAACTTCCAAAAGAGCTAGAGGATGACTTAAAATCTATTACATAGTGAATATTTTATTATTATTGATACAATTAATGTTAATAATAAATCTGAAATATTATTAATAAATCCTTAAAATGGTATGTAATTTTAAGCATGATGTAACTATTATTGAAATATATTATTTTTGATACAATTAATATGAATAGTATCATATTAATAATATATTACAACAATCTAACTTAATAAAAATGCTAAAATAAAACATAAAAATAATAAATATTTTTTACCCTAAATAACTCATTTATCTAACACACATCTATTTTATGTTGATTAAAAAAGTTTAAAACAAGTAGCCTTATCATAATTATAGTGTGGAACCACTGAGATGTGCATCTCTCACTAGTTTTAGAAATGTGTTTGTTTTCAGTGGTACATGGCGCTGTCAGCTATGCCAAAGCAACAGAGCGAAGGACAAGACATACAACCCCTTGCTGGTAAAACATGACAAGATTCCCATTAAATTGATTAAAAACAAAATTTCCCATTTGCAATAACTAATTGAACTTGAATTACAGTTGGTCACACATATACGTATAATATGATGAGCAGTGGTGGGAGATTATTATAAATGGCAGTAGTAACTTCTCTGCTACAATTTTAGCCTACAGTTCACCCTCCAGTGACAGAGACAAGCTCCAGCTCTGCTGTGGACTTCTCCTTCTTCTCCTCTCTGTCCTCCACTTCACTCTCCACAGTCACAGCTCCACCTATGGTAACACTCCCATGTGACTCAATAAGAGATACACTGACATTTAAGGCCTGTTCACACCAAGGACGATAACTGTAACAATGAAGGTTTAACAATCATTATGATTCTATGAGACTGTGGAAGTCCACATCACAACTATAACAATAATGATCGTTGGAATCACTTTCAGAATGATTTTTTTCCAGCTGATGAACGCTAAAAACATTGCCAGCCAATCAGAAACCACCCGACTTTAAAGAGCTCAAGCATTTAAAGTGGCAGACAACAAAAATGCAGTGTGCTCTTGTAATAAACAGAGCTTTATCATATCTTGGTGTGGACGCACGCTAATATATTTACTATCGTTATTCAGCCTAAAAAATGAAAGATCTTATTTACAGACCCTCATGTCATTCCAATCATTTGAATCCTAAATCCAATCGTTATAATCATATATATATATATCTCTGACGAGCGGCAGGATGATGGCTATTTTTATATTTAATCTTTGTTAGTCTTCGGATGGTCAAATGGTCGGGATCAGGATGGCTTGTGGAATTTGTCATCTCATCCAGGGAGAGCTGATCACCTGCCCTCAGTGCCTGCAGAGTTATCATGCCCTCTGCAACTTCTCAAAGTACTGATCTTATTGTATTGTTATTTATTATAGAATACCGGTAACTGTGAATTCTATCATGCTTTGAAGCTCAGTCTCTCTCTCTCTCTCTTCCCCTAATTGCCTCTTCAGTGGAAAGACCAGATGTAGGAATTGCTCCAGGTGTTGGGGCCCTGAAAGCGAAACATCATCAAGGAGTCTTCAGGTATCTCTAAAATAACACTTTTGGGTCTCCTAACCTAACAGATGTTAGATGTTAGATGATTTTTTATTCCCACAGGTGAGTCAGCACATGAGTGATCAGGGCTTAACACCATCAGAGCAGCTGTTCAACAGAGATGAAATGGATTCTATAATGGGGGAGGTGAAGTCATGCTTCTTAACAGTATAAAAATAAATTAATACATGCAAGTGAGCAATGGAAACTGTATATACCTGAAGCCCCAGATGAGATGCCTAACGGTATATTTGTCTTGATGAATTCAGAGCCCTATAGATGGGATCTTGCAGTGGGCTTTCCACAACATTTCACGTCCTCTTTCTGAGTCTCAAGGCTATTTCCAGTGATTCAGCGAGTCGAATTCATCTCTGCTGTGCCCAAATCTCAGCATCCCTCCTCGGTGTCAGATGGACTGACATGAAGAATAGAACACAGTTTTAATAATGTTTTGGGTCTAGATCTCAAAAGCTAGTTGTCTGCCAATTATTGTTTGATCTTAAACCAATTTTTGTGAAAACAAATACAATATATATACAATACAAAATGTAACTTCAACCAAAGCTAAAATTAAGAAGATAATGTTCAACTTCCTACATTAAAATGAAACTTGATGTAAAATTTTAATTTCTTGTACTGTACATCAATAATAAAGGCATTGCATTGTAACCGTCATGAAGTATGTAAATATATGACTATGGTACTACATGGATGTTAGTCATGGTAGACAGCATATTTATTTTTTTGCAGATGAAAATTAGGCTGTGGTGGATAGACTTACAATGGCATGTTACAATGGCATGCGCAGTACAAATATAAATACGTCATATTTAAAAAAAAAAATTCTGTTTCAAGGAGATTTTGTCAAAAGAGAGACTTTTAGAAAGATGTTTCATCAGCTAAACAGTTGCTGTATTGTTAAACAACAGTACAATACATTGAACACACATCATACTTCTGTCTCTCACAGTCTTTTTTCACTCAAAAAAATAATTATTTCACTACCCTGAACAAGTTTTATAAAGGTCCTTGGCCTGAAAAAGGTTGAAGACCCCCTAGTAATTATGACACCCGGATTTTGATGAAATATGTATTGTTCTGTAATGTTAAAATTCATGTGATAACCTCAAGATATGAAACAATGGCTCAAGCATAAATAAATGGATTTCCATGTAGCAAACATGGAAAACATGTTCCCATCTCTCTCTCTCTCTCTGTGTGTGTGTGTGTGTGTGTTTTAGACCATCGAAGTGAGGACAAAAAGAGCGTAAAGTGAGGACATTTTAGCCGGCCCTCACTTTCTTGGACCCTTTTAAAGGCCTGTTTAAGGGTCAAGACTTTGTTTTAGGGTCAAGGTTTTAATTAGGGTAGGTTTAGGGTTAAGGGTTCAGGTTAGGCACTTAGTTGTGGTTGGTTAGGAGCTAGAGATTACACTGTGTCAATAAATGTCCTCACAAAGATAGATGTACAAGAATGCTTGCATGGCACACACATACATAAACAACACATACACACACAACCGTTTTTTAATGTTTTAGAAAGAATTCTCTTATGCTCGCCAAGTGCATGTACAGTATTTGATCAAAACTACTAAAAACATCAATATTGCTTATTAAATATTATTACAAATTAAAACAACTGTTTTGTATTTTTAGATATTTTAATTTATTTCACATCAGCGATTACTCCAGTCTTAACTTGAGTGTCACGATTCTTCAGAAATCATTCTAATATTCTGATTTACTTCTCAAGTAACATTTCTTATTATCAATGCTAAACAAAATCATGCTACTTAATATTTTTGTGGACCACCAAACACGCCAAACTTTGTTACATAAATATCTTTCTGACCCAACCCCCCCCCCCCCCCCCAATAATTTTTACTTTCACATGCATGTTCCACAAAGTTAGTTCCTATAACACAATAACCATCTTGTTATCTTTAATGGTGCTTGAATGCTGATAGGCTGGTGGACAAATGCCACTGTGAAAGATTGTTCTTAAATACAAGTCATTTTAACTGATCATTTGAAAATGTGTGGGATAATTACAACATCAACTTGAAAATATATTTTGCCCTACAGATATTGTCTTTTAGTAATGTAATACATCTGATCCACAACTCAGCTAAATATAGTTTATTAGCAGGCTATAGTTTGCCATCTGGTAATTATCTGAATCCAGATTATAAGTGGTGTCTGACTTGTTGCCAAAACATTTTTTGAGAATTTAGCCAGCTTTTTTTTCCCATTTGGGTGATTCTGTTCAACTGGGTGAAGTTATGTGAGCAAAGGCTCTGTTTATGTGCCAGTTCTCTGTGTACTGTTACACTTCAGTGGATAAGAGGCACAAATACAGCCATTTTATGCAGGCTGATATTGACTTCAGTGTGCCATTATATAACGGAGGTTACATGGAAGTAAAATGAGGGTCATTCATCTTGTAACAGAAGTAAGGAAATAGGCCTGATACAATACATCAACTAAGAAAAGACCTGCAAGACATGCACTCTAAAATGATTACGATATAAGCCGCTTTGTCAAACTGTGTTGCTTATGCAACAGGTCACCTCCTTCACTCATGGTTCTTTGAAGGTTATGAGACATTTGCTGAATTATCGTCATCATTTCATGAACAATGATACAGCATTTGATCATACGGTTGTTATTAGTATTTAGAGATATCTGTACCCTTATTGTTATAGTCATTGTCATCTGTGTGAACAGGCCTTTAGTCTGCTGAAGCTCTACGATGGACAGTCTGAAAGTTGTAGTAACTAGAATATTCCACTTAGTCCTGGACCTGGCCTGTAGACCCGTTCGCAATTTGGTGTTGGGGGAATTTCGCACTTGAACTGAGTAAGTGGGTCCCTAGACATGAAAAATCACAGAGGTGCTCGTCCGCTATAGTGCCACGAATTACGTAATGGTCAAATCAAATATGGCCGCCATCGGATGATGATGAAAATCCAACTTCTTTGTTTCTGAATGTTTATACACATGTAATACCTCCATTTTGACTAATTATGGTATGTTGAATTCATTTCTGGCATTGATAGGACCATATTGGCTTATTGTGACCTTGAAAGGGCATGGTCAAGGTCGTTTTCCTATTCTGAAGAATCTCAAAAGACATGTACATGCGAACTAACTCAATTTACAGTCTGCCCTTTTACTGAGTATTTGTACAACACTAGACAGAATTCACAGAAAATAAGAGGACAAGGTTTAACTTTTCTTGTATTTTACCAGGAGTATCAAAAGATTTCCAAGGTTCCTAAAGTTTTCATCTGACTATTGAGCATCGCACTATTTGATCAACAGTGAGCATTACACATGTACATGAGTAACTCAAATTTACTAACTCAAATTTACAGTCTGCCCTTATACTGTGTATTTCTACAGCACTGGACAGAGTTCACAGAAAAAAAATAAGACAATGTTTGACTTTTCTTGTATTTTATAGAGTTCACAGAAAAAAGACAAGGTTTGACTTGTATTTTACCAGAAGTAGTCAAATTGATAAGATTTCCAAGGTTTTCGTCTCACTATTGAGCATCGCACATATTGATCAACATGGAGCAATACCTGGCCCCAAAAGCTTGAATTTGGTTGCTTCAATGGCAGATCAGGACAATCTTAATCAAGAAGACCTCTACCGGTGCTTCTCTATAGGCCAGTGGGTTGTGCAGGATCGCCCTGGCTGGTTCTGTGCTGTGGGAGGTGACATGAAGGTCGAGCAGACCATTCAGCGAGTATCAAAGGGTCCTGGAAGTCACTGTCGTAGGAGCCACACACAATACAAATGCTGTAGCGGAGTTTGAGCTCTTGTTCCATTAGATTGGGATGATCACTGATTTCCTCAACTTTCTCACCAACAACCACACTTTGAAATAGACAGAATGCCATCTCCAGCATGCACGGAGCACCACTCGCCGCCTTACATTCAACCAAAATGTTTCAAAGCTGCTGGACTTTGTGCTAGAGCAGCAAAATCCATACTCAGTGACAATCGTTGTGCCTGTTCCACTGCACAATCTGCTCACCAAGCAAGCTGTTGACGAGGTGTCGCTCCTCGCTTGCTCAACTGTCTCCAAAATGGGAAGCATGTCTACTGCTCGTACAGGCAGGAGAGGTTAGTTGAGAAGACCAAGAAAATTAGCACAACTGTATCAAAGAGAAAACTACCTCAGTTCAATGAACAACCACAGAAGACACCGACAATCAGTATGAAGGAGCAGAAGTTAGTCTCATCCAAAGACATGGCCGAGGCACATAGGAGTATGGACATTGCTAAGAAGCGGGGCATGAGTATCCGGCAGATACTTTCTTATGATGTGCTTTCAGCATCTCCCCTGTTTGATGGTGACCTTCCAGCTCATGTCAACAAGTCAAAACTTGTCAGTGAGATTGAGCCTCGACTTGATCTCAACCAATGGAGTCCTGAGTCTACTTATGCCACTCATGTTGTGGTAGACTTCATGTCGAAGATGCGACAGATGCCTCTAGCACAATTCCCTACTTTAGGTGCGGTCATCAATGTGGCATATCCTGACTGGAGATGACTGTATGAGCAAGGTGGGGACTAAACCTGCTGCTATGGTTTCTGACCCACTCCAATACTTAGCCAACTTTGGAGAGGCAGACACCTTGACAGAGCAAGATGCAGCATTGGCTGAGAAGTACTTGGTGTGTGTCTGGGCTGGGGCCAGGTCAACTACAACAGCTAAGATATTTGAAGACTTAAGGGTAGAAATCTACACCACCTCCCACAAGTAGTGGGATCAGAGGCCACATCCAACGAGGGGCTTTTCTGGTTCATACGGCATGCCACTTGCTTGCAACAGCCAAGGACGCCAAAGCAAGACTAGAGCCAACGGAACATGGATGGAAGGAGCACTTTGGCACACTCCTGCCATCAAAATGTCTGAAGCCCTTACCACCAAGTCTGCTCACAGTATGTAAGTGTGCAGGCAAGCGTGACAATCGCCGATGTGGCTATCGTGCTGCTGGAGTTTCATGCACCATATTCTGCCATGGGAAAATGGAAAAATTATCCTGTAAAAACCCATCCCACTAACATGCATGCACACATACAGTACACTTTGAGAGAAATCAGACTATATGGTGCACTTTTAGTTAATTTGGTATGATGTAATTTTATCACTTATTGATACATTTTTATTTGCACCCAATTGTTTTATTTTATATCATTGTACTAACACCCAATTAAAATAAAAGTTCAAACGAATGTTTATAATTGTTACATTTCTTCTCTTCATGTCTTGTTATAATAATAAAAAATCATCGTGGAAAAAAATACAATAAAAAGTGACTATTAAAAAAATAAATCTTAATCAAGTTATTGAAAAATGATGTTGACATTGACATTTCAATGACAAGATGATCCTTAATGTTAAAAACAATATTAGCAATGAATGTTAAATGTCACATTTAGTAGAATTAGACTTAT